GTGTGGGGCTTGGGGGTGGGGAATCCGTCCACAAAGCTGCCTTTGAGCTTCAAACACTCCCCCCCCCCAACGGCATCCAGTTTCTCAGGGGATAGGTGGGGCTACTCTCCTTTGTCCCCACCCCGATGAACTCTGTGGCTCGAGGAAGTCTTGTGGGGCGGGGAGGAGCTTTTACGCCACCGAGGAAAGAGCGATTCGGACGCGCGGCCTTTTCTTATGGCAGTAATGATAACTTTCATGGTGTCATGCTTTGCATGGATGCTCCCTGTCCAGCAGGCTTTCCAGATGGGTGCATTCAGATTTGCTTTCCTCCCAAAAAGGCATATTTCCCCCCACGTCCTCATTTAAATAAATCATGTAGCTGTTACTTAAAAAAAAAAAATACTTCCCAGTATCTGCCTGGGAGGCCGCATACAGGTTTAAATTTGAACAAGGTTCAATCGACGACGACTGTTTCTCCCCCCTTTCTCCACCCACCCCGTTTCTTTATTTAGTGCAATCTTGACAATAGTTTTCTGCACAGCTGGATTTCTACTGGGTGCAGATGTTGCTAATGGCAGCTTAAGCACGGATGGGCAGATAACATATGGAATGCAACATGTTGCCATATGGCCCGTTTAGCCTTTCACCTCCAAGAATATCAATCAAATATATTCTGGGAGGAAATTTAATGACTCTGAACAAGAAGATGAATGGCTGGGTACAATTTATATTCCTTGACCTGAGATTTTATAAGACTGTCAGTGGATCTTCCTGCCTGTCTTGTAAGGCACGTGATCTAAAACAGAAAGTAGAAAGGCCACATATACTATAAACATCTATTTATCAGCTGGGATCCTTGGAACTGTTAAAGGTGACACGTGACCTACCCCCCCATAATCTAACCAGACGGTGCAAGGAATAATTACATTTTAAATCATCTCCAAATGCTTTATTAAAAGTATTGACATTCCATTCTTCATTATCTCTCTTTCTACAGTTTTCTGTGTTTTCTGGAAATGGGCAGGAGGAGAAAGTAGAGAACAGAAGCAAAATTTAGGAAATAGAATAGAGATTAATTATTGCTGTTAAATAGTTCTGTTGTGCTATGCTTTGAATTCTTTCTTTTAAAAATACATTTAAATTTAGCAAAATGATTATCTAATCTTACACATCCAAGTAATTATTAACTATTTGTCTACAGTGAAAAGGGCATATTGGGACCTTTGCTGTGTAATCCTATGCAGATTTCTGTCCATTTAAGTGAATGGGTTTATACTGGAATCACTTTGAATAGGACTGCATTGTGGATTTTCCAGATCTCTTCACATTCAAATATATGTAAAATATTTGGAGCCTAATCCTTTTCTGTTGATAGGCATTGGACCACATTCCCTAGAACTTTTAACATCTCTGTCTTTGTCCTTCTCTGCCACAGTTTCTGTGCCTTGAAGTACAGTGAGAAGAAAAGTACTCTTCAGTCGCAAAAGGAAGGTTTTGCAAAGCTCAGAGTTCCATGGGGAGTGTTTTTCATAGCCACGCATAGTCAAGTGCTGAGTTTGTAAGCATGCTGTTTTTAAATGCTATCCTTTCTGCATCTGATATTCTGTTTCTAAAACAGAAAGAGAAAAATGTTTTTTGAAGAAGATGACAGAGAGTATTTGCAGTTTTTCACCAGCATGTTTCATTCCACTTGTATTTTGAAAAGATATGCATTTCCTGCTTCAGAACATGTAAGTCTAGTTGTTTTCTATATGCTATGCCATCTTCTGAAAGAATAAATATGATAATTTATTCATGTCAACATTTGTACACCTGTACAGGATATTATATTTTGCCAAACAATATATGCATACTCAGTATAACACATGGTATTCAATTAATACTCCAAATAGTTGAAAAAATCAGATGCTCAGTTCTAGTGGTAATGGAACATAGTTTCCTGTTCATCTCGGTAATAGTAAGAGAACCAGCTGTCTGGCTTCAGTAGGAATATTGGTGAAACTGGGATTTATTCCTTACAAGTACACTGGCAGCTACACTGTGGATGAGACATGGCCATAAGTTCATTCAAAGTCTTGACTGCACTGATACAGTGAATTTTGGGAAGAATTTCTCCACAGTCACAGATATAAAAATAACCATAGTAATTTCTGGCTGAGCCTAAAATAGCAATATAGATTGAGCTTTAAAATCACACACACACTAAGATCCATATCCTTAGGAACTGTTCTCCTGTCCGCTCAAAGGCCAGAGTATACTTTAAGAGGCAACCAAGTCTAATGTCACCCTTTCTGTATTGTAAAGTCTGCTTGGAAGGAGGCACTTGGCCCCTATCCTTTGTGTGCTTCTTTTGTAAGGAAGAAGGGGTCATCAGACCAACATTACATGTGGTTGCAATGTAAGATATAGTTTGGCAAAGTGAATGGTATAAGGTCACTTGCACAAGAGTTCAAATGTCTTGTAAATTTAGAAACCATTTTGGATAGAACTCAGTAATTGCATTAGAACCAAGAAGCCCCTCTAAAGAGCTGTAATGTGATTCTTTCTGCTTATGGATATATGTTATGCATACAGGTGGTGCAATATCATTTGTCTTCCAGAGCCCTGCTTACCATTCACGGTCATATACTGTTCATTGTACAATCCTGACATGGGTAAGGCTCTTCACTAATGAGAAGTTTTTTCCTTAAATAAGAGTAAGATTAGAATCTGTTAAGTGCTTGACTGCAGAAATCAGCCATTTAAAGGCAGAGAAAACCGTTCTTGGTTGGAAACATCCTAATGAGCTACGGAAGCAGGAGCTATTAGTGAATCACCAGAGTGAGTAGTCATGTATTTTGATAGGGACTTTCTAAAACTGAGTTTCCAGTACCTCAGGAGAGTTCATCATTCATGTTTTGTTTTTTTTAATCTGCTGAACTGTCAGTCAGGAATGCTGATCACACAACTGCATATGCCTTTCATCACCAGAAACACTTTAAACTCTGTGTATTGTAGATTCTAAAGGCCAAGGTTTACCTATAAGCATGGCTCTGAGTTCATTATAACCACAGCTGCTTGCTTCCTGATATATTTATATTGCCACATTTCTGATTTTCATTTTGATCTACTAAGTATTTTAATAAGTGATTGCATTTTTTAAAGATGTTAATGTTGAACTGCAGGATTCCCCCCCCCAAAAAAAAACAGAACAGAATATATTTGCATATAGTTTTTACTTCTGAAAGTAAGCCATTCCAAAATAGCATTCCATGCATAACCTGTCAGGTTATGGGAATCTCTTTTCCACATAGGATTCTTAGCTTGTCCTTTCAAAAAAATTTTTATAATTTTGCCAGACACAAATATAAAATGTGAGAGTGCCCTTTGTAGTTAATACTTTGAACAGATGGTTGACATTCTTAATTGTGCACTGTGTTCAAGTATTTAGATACCAAATTTTGCTACATTTATAAAATTGTTTGCGTTTATTTAATGTAGGTTTCTTTTTGAAGCATGCGACCCTGGATGTTTGTTCTCCCTCTTTTTTTTTCCACATCATTACTCTGATCCTGCTTGATTAGCTCCCTCCCCAGTCATGATTGGTAATTAAAATAGGCATTAAAATTAGTCACTTAGCAATTTTGCTGTTCAATTGGCAATTAAATTACTTAATTGCAATTAAAGTCCTAATTTTAATTGACAAAATGATAGATGTAGATTTAAGATAATATGTATAAATACTTTAATAAGTGTCTATATAAGGATTACTTAATTACTCAACTTCAAGTTTATGTTGTTAACTTCAGAACTTTAAAATGAGCAAAAAATTTATATTACATGTATTCTAAAGCTATGATAATTAAGGAACTATGGGGACCCCTGCTATAAGGTACTTCTGTAATGTACAAAGATCATATGGGATAACCAGTGTGACAATTACCAGGGCATAGGCATTCCAGGTAAGCCCCATTAAAATCAATAAGGTTTACTTGTGAGTAAAAGTGTCTAAACTGTAGGTACAAAAAAAGAACCCAGCAAAAATTGTTCACTGGAAAGAGGGGCTGAACTGAGACATACTGATGCCTTCTCTCCTAAATAAGCATCAGAGCTCTCAACCTATTGATGCTTCATAAGCTTCCTCCTTCACTCAGTCATTTCAACTTCTGATGTGTTACTGAGACTTGAACATCATCCAAGATTGAAATTCTTCAAACTCACCTTGTTCTTAGGCAACTTGATACAAAGGAGGACAGGGATCACATGACTTTTCATAGATGAGTAGGATTTGGGGCAGATACAACTTGCGATTAAGGCATTAAAAAGAGTTATTGAAATGCCTTTCTTCTATAGAAATACTAAAGGTACAGGAGCTGTCTTTGCATTTCCATTTGTTCCTCCACCATCTTCTTGAAGACCTGCGTTAGGATGACTAATTTAGATTTCACACAAATCAAGCTTTGGCAAAATTATAAGGGCATAAACCTTTAGTGTAGGTTAAATGTAGATTTACCAGCAACAAGCAACTCCAGGATCTGTTTCTTTTCAAAATCAGGGGGTTTCTTTTCAGAGTCTGATATCCCCTCTAGATCTTGCAGGCTTTATTGCTGGGTGTCATCTTGCTGCCTGTCATCTTCACTCAGCTTTGCTCCACTTTTAACTTGGAGCTCAGTATTGTAATCTAATACAGGTAACCTTGTCCATGTTGACTTTGGCCCATAGAAATGTCTATACCATAAATTTCTAGATTAGGCTTTCAGTTTTTAAATCTCTTTCCATTAAGTTTTAACATTAAACTGAAACATGCTGTTTTTTCATATTGGATTATGTAAAATAAAAGTTGCATTTGAAAATTACACGTGGAAAATTGAATCTTCTGTATTGATGCATTTATACTGAAGATATGGGTCATTTTTAGTCTGTGTAATAAGTAGTAACATTATACCCACTTTCCCATACACTTAATTCTGACTATTTTCTCTATATCCTAGAAATAAGACTGTATAAATACTTCAGTCCCAGAACTGTTGTCAGACATTTCAGTGAAATCTGTTGTCACACGTGTTTTCATGTAGCAATCAATAAAGAAACTAACTTGTTTTAGATTTGAATACCAGCCTGGAATCCAGAACAAAATGCAGATATATAAAGCCATTTACATTAAACTACTACCAACAAGAAGTATTTGTATACCATTTTTAATTTTCAGAATGCTTTATACTCTTTAATCAGATCCACCTTTGTAACATCTGTAGAATGGGGTGAGGGTTATATACTCTTATAGGGCTGATGCTAAATTGCTCCCAATCTGGTCAGTGTTCAGTTGAAAGACAGCCAATCTCAAAGAAGCCAGCTTGTGTTTCCTGAAGAAAAAGGAAGGTATAAATGAAATAACCAAACTTTGTGAGGTAAGGGAAGAGATGTTCTAGTGAAATCAGAAGTAAATTGGGGCAAATTCAGTAACAAAGTCAGGGTTTTTTTTTGTTTTGCCAGTCTTGCATTTATAAATGTAACACTCAAAACATATTAGAGAAATGTATACTAGATCGTCAGTTACCAGCACTTTAAAATATGTACTTTTCTTAAGAGAAAAACAACTTATCAGGATTTTGATTTGCTCATAATTAATAGTTTGGTGAAGAGACAGGAACCATTTCACATTTGTGAAAAAGCTCTCCAAATAATAAGACAATGCACTCCTAAGCATGACTATGGAGGTGACATTACTATCCTATGAACAGTTTCCTGGGAGTAAGGCCCATTAAATAAAATTGCACCTACTTCTGAGTAGACCTGGTTAGGGGGTTGCTCTCAGACTGCTATTCAAGTGTGCTGTATGGGGCTTCCTCCCAGAAAAATATTCTTCAGATAGCAGTGTAAACTGCCTTACCAATTCATTGCTTTAAAGGAAAAGCTGCTCTGGTCCTAGAGAACAGTTTCCAACAGCCCAGGCATGTAAATACTTATGAATGGATCATATATTAACAACGAAGCTATCACAGAGTTGTTTTGTTGGCAGTGCAAACAGGCATAGCTGCATCAACATTTTAAGAAGGGCATTCCATACTGGTCCTGATGTATTTATTTTAAAATATATAAATTGCCTTTCTCCAAATTCTCAAAGCAATGTTGAACCATTATTTTTTTTTAAAAAACAAACCTCTAAAATTGCAAATCATATTGGTAACAATGGCATAGGTTAATATCCCTAATATATTTCAAATTTCTTGTATAGCCAACAAGGTCTCACAAAATACCATTTCTAAGTAATGGTAGCAAAGAATTGGCCTTTCAACTTTATATAGTATTTTCCCCTGGACTGTGGCTAATTGAGAGGTCAGTTACTTCGAAGGACTAGAGATTATTTCAATCGCTGGAATGTTTCGTGAGGTGTGATATCATGAAGTGTAAATCTCAGCTGTCTTCACCCAACTAGGATAGAGCATGTACTTTTATCAGTGCTGCCCTAAGCAGATTTATGCTTTTCTAAACCCGTTGACTTCGATGGACTTAGAAGAGTGTAAATCTTTTTAGAATTACATTTCTTTTTTTTAAAAAAGGAAATAGTCGAAGCGTTACCTAACATGATGTTAGACACCTCCACCCGCTCCGATTCTATCAGGCCATTCACATGCGCTCTGGTATATTGATTGTAAAGCCGAGCCCCCTACCGCCTGGATCTCAGAAATGCAATGACTAATGGTTTGGAAAGTGGCCAACTTCGCTGGTGCTTCGAGGAAAAAGGCTACGGGTTTGGGGGCTGAAAACCCGCCCTCCGTTTCCGTTCTCTGTGATGACAGCTGCTGACTTGGTGGTCCCGTGGTACGCGAGGCAAGAGCAGGCTGCCATCTCTGGCCATTTAAGCAAACAAACCGAAATCACGCGGCCTCTGAAAACTACTCTTCGCATTTGGAGAATAAGGGGGTAGGGCTTGATGGCCAGGTCAGACAAAGAATTCTAAATACAGGTTTTTCTTTTTTAAGCGGGGAGTGGCCGAATGTCTACATAAAAGCCCCATATAATCGCTGTCTTTCTAAAAAGTGCCACCTTTAAACAATTGGAATTGGCGCAGTGCTGTAAGATATCCAACCCAGTGTTTTTGATTTTTTAAAAACTGGGCACCGAAGCGACTCTGGGGGGGAAGGAGGCGGGGCGGGCAGCTCAGGTCCTTTCCAGCGTCCTTGATGTGCTGGCCTTTTTTGCAGCGTTTAAGGGGCAGAGTGCTGGGAGCATGGAGAGCGGAGGTCCATTCAGTTCACTGGGGGCTGGGCGGGCCGGCGACCTTCGAGTGTGAATGGGGGTGGGGGGTGTCAGTCCAGATCTGCCGCCTTCAGCTCCTTGCAGCAAAGGCGGTGTGCAAAAGAAAAAAAACCCAGCTCACAACTCTCTTGGAGCGCAGGACCCTTACGCCTGCTATAAAGCGGACACACGCTAGTACTATCAATCATCATCGAAGTCTGGAGTACGGGGGAAAGGGAAGCCACCCACCCAGCTGGCACCGGGAAGCCTTCTCTCAACTTCAAAGGGGCCAAAGCAGACGCGCGCGCCGACCGGCCTCCAGCGAGCAACTTCCCTTCCCCAAAAAAAGTTCCGCCTGGAAGCCCGGCCAGGAAAAGATTTAAAAATAGCCCCCTCCCTGGGCTGCTTTCGAGTTTCCGAGTCGGAGAGGCTTAAAATAGCCCTGCCCACCGCCAGGCTGTTGCTTCCCTGCCCCGCCCCCGCCCCCCGCGCAATGGAGCAGCGGCAGCCACCGCCGGACCAGGCTGCCGGGGCGCTGCTACTATTTTTGGCGCGTCCTGGGCCCGTGTTGCGTCAATGGCCGCGTCCTCTTGCGTCACGCGCCGCCCCGCCCCTCGTCCTGCCCGCCCCTCCTCCCGGCTCTCACTTTTTCCCTTTCGTTCGCTTCAGCCCACGAGGGCGCTCATGCTAATGAGCTCGCGCGCCTCCTCCCCTCCCCTCCCCTCCTCTCGCCCGGGCCAGCCGAAGGCAGGGAGAACTTAAGGTGGCCCGGGAGGCCCCCCCCCCCGGCGCGCCCCGAGCCGCCACCTCTGTGCAACCGGCTATTTATAGAACTCCTGAAAATAGCGCGCCCAAGAGCCGAACTGGCGAGGAAGGAAGGGAGTCCCCTCTGGGTGTGCAGGAATCCTCCCCGCCGCCGCCTCTCCGAGGCAAAGGGGGGGG